CTGTATAGCCAATATATCCTTAAAACGGCGATAGATAAGCGATCTTCATGTAAATATTATAGCGTGCGAATATTTATGAGACTGCATCTCGTTATGCGATGTGACAATAGTGATAACCAAAACTACATAATTTTCCATCTCAAACTCTCATCCATCGTACAGAAAATACATTTAATTTACAATACGTATAATTATATATGAATACTTTTACCTTGTAAACTGCTGAACCAGCGGCCGCGGATGTTGCCAAAACGACACCCCCTAACGTTGGGCTTCCGGTTATGCCATCCATATACGCTAAAAGTGCAATGCCGGTGTTGCATAAAATCACGGCCACTATCTGCAACATTTACAGACATTGAGATACGCCCTCAACGATGCGGTTAATTTGATATCGACCAAGTGCCTAATTATAGGGCAATATACATATACATATGTTGGCCAAACGTTAGAATAGTGCGACTCGAACCATTTTTCGTAAAATTGAAAAGAAAATTAATGCGAGACTCCCAATCGATATCGAACGGAGTCGGGCGACAGAAAGTGGAATATTCATAGATTCGAATTTATACTTTTGCTGGTGGAAGAAAAATTGTACGAACCCTTACTCCGACGAACTGTTCGTGAAGGATGACCCAGGACAGCAAGTAGACGCAGGAGACATTCGTCGCGAAAAGTGCCATCACGTCGGTCGCTAACAGTATCCTGAGCGAATAAATGTACATGTAATTGGTAACTACCCAGAGTCCGCAGAAGAGGCTACATCTGATCAGAAAACGACCACCGGTGAATCCCTTGTCACGGAAACCTCGCAAACTGTCTGCAATTATTTCTGATGGACTATTACATTTGACTCTTGCCGATTGACAGAGAAAGTACACTGGGAAATAAAGTATCTCCCAGTTCGTGCAAAACCAGGTTGTGAAGAACGGGGCATTATATGGAATCGTCTGAGAACATACAATACAGATTTCTCATTATTATTCTTTTATTTCTCAGATTTGCATAGGAATAAATAGATTTTTAGAAATACACGTATTCCTTTTGTTTTAATTTAAAGTATTTATAAATGCTTTCATAATAAAAATGAAAATCTGCATAGTTGAAAAATGAGGAACGCGAGAACTCACATGCTGATGACGTCCGGTTACGGATAAATTCGAGAACGATGAATAATTTGGAGACTCGTGTTTGTGAAAATATAAATATTTGATACAATGCGTCGCGCCGACCCAACTTGCCGTGACGCATATCGTTACACACACTCCGAAATATATCTAAAATTCAAGATCAACGTTGAGGAATAAATAATGCATGCAGCGACCTAATTAAAGCTGAGTCGTATCGGTGAGAATAATTAGACCTTCTTGGCGGATTCGGCACAGCAGGACGCGTAACAAGCGGACAGAGAGCTAGGCCTTTGCGGGTAAGTAACTGGCGGTACTGTCACATGAGACTGGATCTGAGTTTGGCTTGGATTGTGCCCCTGATTGTCACCAGAACCGCCTCCACCTGTCTCCAAAGGACGACTTGGTATAGAATCACCACAACCACCGGTAACATTGCAACCTTGTTGCTGTTCACAGCCTAAAGTAAAACACCATTTCCGAAAAAACAAACGCACGTAAAGCAATTAAACGAAACACCTCTTGTTACCGATTTATAATCGTACAAATAATTAATCGATCGTTAAAAATGATAAACGAATCACAATCGACATATAATAACTGACGATCAAATCGTAAATCAATCAGAACTGACTGAAACGAAAATATACAATCCGCGTCCCCCGCCGGACTTATCATTGATACGCATCACTGGCGCATGGTTTTCCATTGAGTAAGGATTGACGTCAACGTAAGAGCTCACCAGGATTGTCATGAGTAGTTTGACCAGCAATGTTTTGTGATCCATGCTGACTATCGGTCAGAACAATACTCGGGGTGTGAGTTTGCTGGGGATGAAATATCGTTGGAATGTCCCCGGCTCCTCTGCTACTCATTTTTAAGTTTGTCCTTTCAGCAACAGGGGAAGAGTTCATTTGTCACAATTATCGTAATATACCATATTAATTTATGTATCTGCTGTGTTATGTATCTTATTTACGTGTCTATGTATTATATGTACATAGTTATAAGANGCCTTGTCACGCCATTGATTACTAGTAAACTTGGTACTACCAGGGGTGGATTAAAGTTTCACGAAGACCAAGACTAAAATGAACATGGGCCCCACTTAAGGGCAGCAAAAAATGATTATTTTATGAATATAAATAAGAATTATATTTTTATTCGAGCTCGGAGAACCCTTTGAATGTTGGGGTTATCGTTTAATCCGCCCCTGGGTATTACTAACCTACGTACCTTACCTACCCTGGTCGCGTCTGCGCCTCGCTCGCTTTTCCAACTCTCTTCAGGAGTTTACAGGGGTTTAAACGCCCATTCAGCATATTAAATTA